ATAGGAGAGTGAAGACAGACAAACTGCTGAAGGGTAGAGGGTTCTAGAGCTACTCAGTGTTGAAATCCGTTATCCTTATGTTTGTTTGGGCTTCTCTCCTGGCTTTATTTGACCTGTTTTCCCTTAAAGATTTGAGTTCAACCATAATCTGTCAGTTGGAATTTCAGTGGAATCTTATATTTCTGGCTCATTATAACAAATTGTTCTCTTAAATCCATTGAGGACTGTTTCTTCATTCACTGGGTTCCTTGAAATGCTGTAACTACTTCAATGGTGTCTTAATATAACCCTTGTATAGGTGATAGTCCTTCAGGGTTGTATTCTGATCCGCGGTGGGATGTGGTTTGGGGGTAGAAGATGAAAACCTTACTCTCCTTTGATGAAAACCTACAGAAAGGTGGTTCCTTCTATGTAGTAATAGACCCTTTCTCTGATTAGCGAAAAACTAAAAATGGCCTGTGGACAGTGGCGCTGCTTCTCCATGTTATGTTTAGGGGAGAAGAGCCTAGGCAGTTACATTGGCTTACTTGGCACCCTAAATTTGAGGGGTGAATGTTGATTGTAGCAGCCTGAACCTGAATCTACCTGTTTTTTGGTTTTTGTGGCGCGGAGGACCAAATGTTGAGCCTCCTCCACACCAAGCGTTTTACTACTGAGCTACATACCCAGCCTGGAATTCTTAACCTATTTTGAGGTGGGGTATCTGAGGGGAAATAATCAGGATTGGATGAAGACTAGATACTGGACAGTGGCTTAGCAGAGCTAAGTCCCCAGCTCTGCTTCCTCCCATCTTTTGTCAATGCTGAAACACAAGGACTTACCTCACAGCTTGTCTTTCAGTACAACTCCAGCAAGAGCTAAAAGCTGAAGTCCTCCACTTGGAGGAGGCTATGTTGAAGGGAAAGTCCCAGCACAGGAGGTGACACACTCTAGCTTAGGGGTGACCTGCAATGGGAGCCCCTTCCTTTTCCTACCTCTTTTGTATCCTACATTATAAAAGAATTCATCCTTACCCAAGGCTAAGGATGTAACTTAGTTGGTAGAGTACTTAACCTAGCACATACAAGACCCTGGGCTCCACCCCAATATCAGTCTCCCCAAAACCATTAGGCACAAAGAATTGAACTCTGCCAGCTATTGGCTCTCCAGCCATACCTGCTACTTACAGGTTTTTCATGCTTCTGAGGTCTGTTCCGCCTCTGCCATTCTCAATAGATAGTAAATGTCCCAGATAGATTGGTACAGATATAAGTTTGACTCTTGGGTCAGCCTTTCACCCTCTGAGCTGCCATCTGCCAAAGGCTTGTATAAGCCCTCACCCCACAAGACAACACAATTGCATAAAAGGGTACGCTGAGCACAGAAGAGGTTGAGCTGGTCTTGAAAGCCAGGGAAAGCTGGAAGGCAAAACTGCAAGCAAAGGAATAGGTATGCAGGCATCATAGCCAAAAAGCTGCATGTGAGCCAGGAAAATGTACAGTGGATCCTCAAGAGGGGACATGACTCAGGGTTATGTAGGTGTTCTGGAGTCTATTTGCTGGTGAACATAGACTGTGATTTGGGCAGTGGGGAAAATGTTTTAGCAGTGGATATATCTGATGATTTACACAATCCTAGTGGGAGGTGATGGCTTACAGAGCTCAGGTCCAGCTTCCACTCCTTGTGTCTTCCCAGTTCCCTGGGGCCTCATTAGGCAGTGCTGAGTAATACTCATCTCCCAGCAACTGAGTGGCAGCAGACCATCTCAGAGCAGGGCAAACAGCCTTGGGCCTAAGGAAAAGAACCTATGGGTGGTGGCCACCAGCCCCAGTTGTGGGCCTCGTCAGATGTGGCAGGCCTAAGGCTGCCCCAGGGGTCTTTGTAAGAGGTGAGGTTTTTCCTCCATTTAAACCTGGTTTATTTATATTAGTTTGCTACACTTTAGTGTAAGGCGATTATCAACTGAAAACAAAATATCCATGGGCAGGGATCAGAGGGAAAAACCTGGAAGTCTTCACTGCAAGGGGTTCCTCCAGAATGACCTAAAGCCATCCCCTTTAGATTTTGAAGTAAAGCATATCCAAGGGCTAATTTCTGTGGGGGAAGCCCAGGCCAAGAACAGGAGATGATGAAAAGTAGATGAAGACTAAAGTGAACAAAAAGCCCCCTGGGTCCCTCCGTTCCCCTCCCCACTCAAAATTTGACCCACTTGTAAGAAGCAGAAATTACAGTGAAAGTTTGGGATGTAGGACTGGAGCCCTCCAGGAGCAAGAGAGACAGGCTCCTGACTGCCTGTCCTACCTCTTGCCAGCGTGTCCATTACACCCCTCATTTCTTCACTGAAACTGGGGCATTCCCCAAACAGGCTGGCTTCTAATGGACTGAGAATGTTCCTGTCTCTGTCCTTAGATGACAGATGCCAAAAAAGTCTGACTCAAGCCCCCGCCCCAGGTAGAGCCATGATTGAGCACGAGTCTGTGGCCCAAGTCACACACAGGCTCTTTGCCAGCCCTGGTTACCTGCTTCATCTGACCTCCATTGTGGTACAGGGTGCAGGTGGCCTCCAGGCAGAGGTCACCATGTGACAGCTTCCTGAGCCAGCCCATGTGCTCCTGCAAAGCTCCCTCATGGACCTACCCCAGACCCACCTTCCAGAAACCATCAAGGAAAGAGCAGAGTCCAGGAAGTGAGGGAAAAGAAATTAGAAAAGGAGACCTCACAAGTAGAGCAAAGCCAAGGCTTCCAGAAGATGGGAATACCCTGAAAGCTGGACTAGGAAGGACTTTGCACTGAAATCTTGACAGCACCCAGGAAACATTACTCTTGGGATTCTAGGGTGATGAAGATTGGCAGTGTGAGTGGAAAGAGGCAGTGGTGGTAGATCATCCGTGAAGTCCATCTAATAAGCACAGAAGTGAGTAAAGCAACTGTGAATACTTCACACATGGAGACAAGAGGAACGTGCAGACTGGAGATGGCTTGAACAGAGGATCTTGACAAGGGATTTTTTTTAATATATTTGGTTGTTATAGGGTCTTGCCACACAGCTCCCAGGTTGGACTCGTGATACTCCTGCTTTCAGCCTCCCCAGTGCTGGGATTATAGGGTATGCTACTACACCTGGACTCTGGCCAGCTCAGCCCACCCTGGGGGTGGGGCTGGTGCAGCCTGTGGTGCTGGGGATTGAACTGCGGTTCCTCCGCTTGCCTGAACTTTCCTAAGCAAGTGCTTTAATCTGCTAAGCTATCTTGCTGTCCCTGCCCAGGATTCTTCAAGTCAGGGAGAAAAAGGGTTTTGAGAGATGGCTAAGGCCCACCTGGAGTGTAAGTGAGTCACCAACATTCCACCCCTCTGCCACTGAGGACTGCTGCTGGCAGTTTGGTGATGACTGGCAAACACTACCTTCCTCTGCCTCAGCTTTGCAAGTGGCTGGCAGCCAGATCAACCACACCGGGTCATCACCCACATCCCAGCTGGGTAGAGATGCAGCTACCTACCCTGGGCACCACTGTAGAGCTCTCCTGGCTGTGGGAAGGCACGCCAAGATGCCCACAGAGCATCAGTCTGCTGACAACACAACCAGAGTTCATACGTGAACATATGTGTAAGCTGCAAATCCCCTAGGCCAGAGCACTGTGGGGCAGTTGGAACCTAGACACACCATCCAGAAGCCACATACAGAAGGTGGTTTGTGAGATATGGGAGGATCATGGTCTCCAAATTTTCCTGTACAATTACTGCTATTTCTGCCCTTTCCTGACCTGTCCTCCCTACCCCATACCTCAGGTGCCCTCTCCCCTTTTTACATTGGATACAACTCTACCTAAGGAAACCAATCACTTGGAACTCAGTGGGAAATTTTGAAAACAAGACCTGTGAAGGATCAGGTCTGGGAAGTGGGGACACCAGCACTTCCCTGTGACATGCACCCATGAAAATAATCCTTTAGATCTAGAGTTTCCACAGGAGCAGACAAACTTTCCAGCCATTGGACAACCAGAAAGAAAACATACAGGTCTAAATCCTAGTGTGGCCTAAGAAGTGGTCTGGACAGTATTTTCCTTTGCCAGCTGTCAGTAGAGGACACTGAAGAAGCATTTTGGGAGGAAGCATTGCTCTCTGATTTCGGTGGG